TTGTAGACAATTTATAAGCAAATACATCAGAAATTTTCTTTAGTGATCACTACGAATAATTGTTACTAATAAAACATTTTATTTGATTCACACATTGAATTTATTGATTTATTGTATCGAATCCATATTATTACTTATCTGTTTTATTACTTGTGAGGCACTTTTCTCAATTCGATCCTGAATTTAACATGGTGGATGCTCACGTGATCCGGAAAAGGAGATCAAAGGCGCCGACACGAAGTGGACCTACTGGTTATACTGTGCTGTCACCACACCGTATGTTGGTATGAGTGTCCCATTCGCTGCGTATAATTTGAATTCCGTTGATGGATGCCGTCGGCCCTTGTATTTGATGGCTGGTAATATGCTTATGCTATGCGTCTGAACCAGTGTCTACCAAGTACCTTGTCTTGGTACGTTGGTCCGTGATGAATAGACGGCACATCATGGGACATCCATTGTTGAGCGTCTCTAATGGATGCCCTCGGCGTTTTTTGTATCCTTTTCAAAGGTGCACGGCTGTGCACATCTGTATGCTTTATGCTTCCCGAAGCGTCGGTGGTAGTAGCATACCCCTGGTGTCTTACTTTGTGATTGACTTCGAATGATCTTCTTTCTCGGCTCTTGAAACGGCCTCTCTGCTGTTGTAGGGCTCTGGTCATTTTTGATACCTGCATAGTTAATGCAGCTACCTGTTGTCTCAGCTCTATTTGTGACTGGGAACTGTGCTGTACGGCGGCTGTTTCCTTTGGCTTCTGATCTCCGGGAAGCGTAGTGGTCAGTAACTGTGCTTTGTTGTTGATCTCGTGGATTTTGTCTGCCTGCTCTGCTAGGTCCTCCAGCTTGTTTGCGCTTCTTAGCGCAAGTATGACCTGAGTGTGTACTGGTAATCGGCTGAGCCAGAAAGTTCGTAACAGCTCGTTTGATACGCTTGTCCCGGCTAAGGTGCCAAGATGTCTTAAGAATTGGGATGGCTTTCTATCCCCGATCTCCTCGTGCTCCAATAGTTGTCGGATGCGCTGTTCCTTTCAATCCGTCAAGCGCTGTATCAACGCTGCTTTTACCGCCTCGAATTGTTGTTTGCCGGTGAATTCGTGATCAGGTCCTTGATTTCGCGGGCGTATTTCGGCTGCATTTGGGCCAGTGTTAGCGCGTACTTGTCTTCATCCTAGTACTATAAGTAATGACTATAAGTAATGACTATAAGTAATGACTGTCATGAAAGATAAATAAAAGAAAACGTACACATATTCCTACACACATACTTTGTACGCTTATTTAAAGTTTCGATTTTTTTGCAATTTGCATTACAATGAATAAATATGTTGTACTTCTCAATTCGACATAAGTTGTTAATATCTACTTTGATATAACTATTTTTATGATATAAAATGTAATTCTCAGCAAAGTAGTATTACGTTTACTTTTTTAACATGTACACATTTACACTTTTTTTTCCTTTCCTTTAATGAACGATAAACTTAATTTATTTTCAAGATTTTGTGTGTGTTAATTATATACTTCTAAACTATTTTTAGAAATTTTTAGCCATGAGCAATTGAATAATTAATTTGGAGAATTTAAGTTCGCTTTGTTATCATGGTTGTGAGAGAGCGGCTGCTCTTGCCAGCGGTGGTCTTCCTTCTATGCGTCGCTGTTATGGTGCTTGTTTTACACTCGGTATTTACGCTCGCTCGGGAGTGGTGATCGCCAGAAATTAAGCCACGTCTTTCTTTTTGCTATTTACAGTAGTGTATTTATATATGAATTATTTACAGCATATATATACAGTGTATGGTTGTGTGGTGTTTCTATGTGGCCCTGAAAAGGGCCGATTCGTCGGGAGCGAATGCTAGGACGAAGGCTCCCGGGGGCACCACGCTATATTCGGCAGCGTGTGTGTAAAGCTCCACCGGCGCCCTCCGGCGGGGATTTGTGTCGCCTTCTCGTAAGCGTACACTTCCGGCGTCTGTGCAGGCGTTGATCGGAGCTCGGGTGTTGGAGCGGTCTGCGTCGCCTTGTCTGCCGTGCTGCCGGGTTCCCTGTTGCGATCCACGGGTAGCGGTCGGATGAGCGCCGGTACCGCAAGGGCTTGCAGGATCGCTTCCGGCGTCAGACGTTTAGTCGTCTTATGCGATGCCTTCCGCTGCTGCCTGCGCGGGTCCCCGGGTGCTGGCCCGTGTTGAGGCGGCCGGTTCGGTGCGACGGACCCGAGGTTGATGGGCGCGAGCCTCCACTGCTTCGCCGGTGTAACCCTGCGGGACCTGGTCACGGTCCTCGAGGGAGCCGCCGGGGCTCCAGCCACGCCGGTCCGAGTAGAGGTCGTCGGCAGCAGCGTGACGGCGTTATGGTGATACTCAAAAGACTGCAGTATACTCTTGTCGAGTTCGTTGTGGAGTCTCTGGCTTGAGAATCTTGTCTGCCTTTTGGTTGAAAAATCGGGCCTATTTATATCCGCTCGGACCGTTTCTTCCTTGCGAGAAACTCGGTCCTCTAGCGGTTTGCCCGGGAAAATTGCACTCGCGGCCGGCGCGTGATCACTTCGTGCGCTTAGGCGAGAGCGCAAAGTCTGAAGCGCGAGATCCGGAGTAGGCGCGCGTGTCGGACGGCCGCTAAGGCTTGGTGGCGCGCGTGTCGCGCGCGTAGTCGAGTGGCGCAGACATGCCGCCACAATTAATATTACAACTTTGCGATAGCTATATTGTGCATTATAAAAAAATATTACACTATATCTAATAATACATATATAAATTGAAGATGAATATATGACATGTGACACTCTATATATATGTATATAAATATATATATACCTATATATATATATATATATACGGGCACGCACGCACGCACGCACGCACGCACGCACACATATATATATATATGTAAACTCACCACTATTGCGTATCCATAATTGCTGTCTATCTGGCTCCGAAATGCTCGGAAATCAATATAAATGTTTTCCATGATCAGGCACTTTTTCATTTACGCAATCTATATACATGCACTGTTTAAGCAAGTTACATTTTTTATCACTTTTATCCGACATTATAGCGTTAATATTATTTTCTTATTTTTATAATAGAATGTCCTCAAACTCTTTCAGTAATCAAAATGTGCGCGATCACGACTGTATTAATATATGCACCCAAAGAAAGGCGCACGTATATACGTTTGTATATACGTGCGCCGTATACACGTATACACGTATACACGTATACGTTTGAACACACACGAAGTGTAAGCACTGCCGCACAAATAAAGACTGTTGTCAGTTGACAAGACCTGAACGGAGTGAGTCCGGCCGTCCCGGCCACGAGAAGAAAAAAATATTAACAAAACAAAAGCGTGTAAATTGCATGTATTTTGTTATCGAAAAGCTGATAAAATTTTGATATAAAATAACAGCAATAATAATAATTCACACGGGCGTATATAGGGTAAACCCGGTATATATGCCGCACCTATTAATGACTTAATTCATCAGATGTTATCTATTAAATTTAAGTTAAATGAACTATGCCAGTAAAAACTTTATACTGTTTACTATTATAAAAAAATATTAGAAATCCAAATTATTTATTTTTTATATTAAAAAAGAAATTTCTTTCTCCGTGCATTTTTGTCTTATAAAAATAGGGGTGGGTTATACGGCTACTCATGAGTGGGATAAATGACTCGAAAAATATACAAATAATCTAAATAATAATAGTGAATAACACGTGAATTGACAACGTAATTTGCATTTACTCATAAATAAATAAATAAAAAACGTATTATTACAGATTATGAATAAGTATATATAATACATACATGAATGTTACAATTAATGTATTGTAAAGGGTATATTATCACGTATTATTATTTACTTTTATATTTATAAATAAATAATAGTGTCTGTGTTACGGCATAAATTCCAGGCGTTAAAAATCTCTAACAGATAGGGTATACGAGACAATAAATTAAACAAAGAATAGAGCTTGTATGTATTTTGCTATACTCTATCCTTTACTAATCCTCTACACGTAACAGAGTGGTTGCGAAAAAATTAGTTTCACTTCTTCTATTTTTTCTGACTTTTGCAGTGTAAATACTCGCGCGGCGTATATACCGGGTTTACCCTATTATTACTTAATTTTCAATAATTAAAAATTATAATGACTCTTTGATTAACAAATATTAAACAGATAATAAAGGCAGTTAAGAGTCCCACGCAGTTCTTGGTGCGTATATATTCTTGGTTTATTCCAATATTCTTTACATCAAATCCTTAGCGAACGTTTCGGCTTCCATCAAGCCATCTTCAGCGCAAATTAGTTATAAGCTTTCATGCTCCACACAGTGTTGTTAGTCGGGCCGGGTTTTTCGCGCATGCGCGTCAATTGTAGCCTCAGTAAAGTACCCGTCACTAGAGACAAGAGATTTATTAGTCGCCTTTTAATCGCCTACACAATATTTTAAAAATTTTATAAATTGCGGTATATTTAATAATTATTATACATTATTATAAATTAATACACATAAGAAAGCGCAACTCGTATCGTTAATATTAAGCGAAATTCCATAGCGGATTCTTAATTTAATTTAATGTATGCACGATGACGTGAGTCTCGCATTGCATCACCCGTGCGTACCTACTTCAATAATTAAATTTCTATTACATTAAATATCTGAACAATTATTAAACTCTCCGAGTTCATTGTTATATGCAGCACTGCGGAAAAAGCTCTAGTGCTCTGTGAAAACCCGAAATTTCTAACTCTAATATTTGTGCAGATATTGCAAATAATTTAAATTTTATATTGTGATAGATAATGCAATGATGCGTCACATAAGCGCACCATGATGCAATAGCGCGGTATACCGTACCACGCCCTGATTAAAAATTCATAAAATATTAAATAAACGAACAACTACTTATTTGCGGAAACTCGCGCATGTCAATTCTTTTATTATAAATTATTGTGCAACGATAGGTATAACTCTCAAGCTCGTATCTTTATCTTCAAAATATAATTAACAATAAACGCACAACGGAGAAAGATACAACAATGATTCTTTCACTAAACAATAGAGGAGAGTTATCCCTAACGTTCTATAAAACATAGAAATCGAAATTGTTAATATTAATATCTTTTTTATGAACATTGTAAAATTGCGGTCATACAACATGACGCCACCCGATACCCCCTTCCAAGCGTAGCGTGGGCAGTAGTGTCTTCCGCGAACCTTCCCACCTATCGAGCGATCGAGGTAGGAAATCATAGTGCTGAGGAGGATCAAAGTGCTGAGGAGGATCAAAGTGCTGAGGAGGATCAAAGAGCTATTGTTCTGCTTTCCGTGAAGCCTAGGCTTTCGAGTTAGCCGAGCAATTTGGAGACATAGTGCGCGTCCCGATTTGATTACTGTATAGTACAGTCTGTTTCTTACTCTGTTAAAATAACTTATCGTAGTTACGCGAGCATTTGTACCGTGTTCCTTCTGCAAGCGAGCTGCGAGCGACTTTTGAATCATCCACTGGGCCGAGGCATCAGGTGGACTTGGGCAATTTATTTCTGCGACTCTGTTACTTGTAAGTTGTTATGCACGCGTTTACTGTAGATCCTCCCTGCCTTATTATTTAATCTCATTGTTTAATCACCCTATATTTAATCTTTATATTTTATTATATCTTATTCTGACTATAACTCTTGACTATTTTAATTCAATATATTCCTGTCAAACGATCAATCGCTACAATTATTAATCGACTGCGTAAATTTAAACTATAATTACGCATGTATGTCATTATTATATTCATCTTCTGTCTAATTCTGAAATAAACTTTGAAAAGGAACCCTTCCTTTTATTTCAAACTATAACTTATACCTTATACTTGTGTGTGATTTCAATCTGTACAATCTGTGAACTAGTGAAGTGACTTCCTGTACGCGGAAGCATTGTTCAAAGACGGTGATCCGTGACAGTGACACTTCACCCTTGTTTCGAAATCGCGTGTGACACTCACGATTTTCTTTCCTCTATGTCTACGTGGTGTAAGCGAGCGCTTATACCTATCGAGACAGCTTGCTTAACGTCAGAATTGTCTGCCTACGGAATACTCCATACAGGTGCACGGTGCTACGTGTATGCAGGTGC